AATTGTTGCGGGGTCATGTAAGAAAACTTACCGTGTACGAGCGTTTGGTGAATTCTGCTTTGGGTTCCCGAGGGCCGAAATTGCCTGTTGTCCTCAGACACTGGTCTTGGCGCCAGACTTATCAAACTAGAGCGCTCCACCGCGGCGCCTACTCGTCTGAGTGAGATAAGCTGGTCGATATCCGCTTGTAAGGCTTGGTCTCCTTGACAGCGCAGGCGAAGCTCGTGCAGTCGATCTTTGGCCTCTACCGCGTGTGGGCTGTCTCCAGTTCGACGTCGCTTCCGTGGTGGCTCGTCAGTAGTCTCGTTGCGTCGTGTTGTTATCGGGTTGGGTACTCGCTGCACCTCGTCGTCTTCGGAGTCGCTCAAACCGTCGTTTAATGACTCATTCAGCTCCAATTGGGTAGGCGTATTAACCACGTCAGTAACCGAATCTACTGCCGTGAATATTGAATCATTGAGTACCAGCCCCTCGGGTGGCGGGCGATTGCCATCCTTATAGAATACGTGATCCAGAATGTAATTCACACTTACGTGACATAGCTCGGAGTTGGTAATATCAAAGATTGGCAGGATGACAGCCTCGTTGACGGGTTTTACACGAGCGTCCACTACTAACTCGTCGACGTTCCGCAATGCGATTTGATCCGCACCGTTAAACTTCTTATACACCTTTTCGTGGATTTGTTTCAGCTCCCTCGGCATGACAGCACTGGTACCGCACGAAGCACACGGTCTAAGTGCGTAAATTTCCACGGACACGTCCTGGAGGTTGTCGGCCTGGTAAGGAACGGTCTCCGTCGAGTCACCAAAGTTTACATCGACAGTTCCCTCCTGGCGGTGGGTAGACCACTGGTACCCAGTCACCAGTCCGTACGCCCAGACTCTGACGCCCCTCAGTGGCGAAAGTGCCTGGTCCTTGAAGAGCTTCCGCCTCGCTCACCTCACGTTCGGTGATGTCTGCGAGTGTTACCTCGCTAACTTGAACCTTCTCATTTGCCCATCGTCCGCTTAGCACGAGGTTGATCTTCACCTTCCCACGGCGAGACGCCACTCCTTCCAGCTTGCCATAGCTGTATCCTAGGACATCGAAAGTGCCTGGACGTAGGTAGTAAAAGCTCCCCGCTGTGCTCATTACATTTGACCGTGGAGTGTGTCCGAAAGAAACGAAACGAACTCAGTTGGTTCTTGAGGCTGTTAGCGTTGGCGAGAGAGATCCAAAATGAGGGCGGTCCTTTGAAGAGCTCGTCCTCGTCCGTATTCTATCTATGGTACTACAGGATAGGGGAAAGAAGGTTTCGTCCTTGCCGCATTCTCCGACCGTCCGAAACCACCCGATCCGCAAGCGATTGCTGCGTCCGACCTTTTGCGGATGTAGTACCACGCCATTAGCGCAGAAAAAGTAGCGGACGTGCGGAAGTAGCCACCGCA